TAATAAATACTATGGACAACTCTACTCCAACAAACTAGACAACCTAGAGGAAATGGACATATTCCTAGAAAAATACAACATTCCAAAACTTGATCAGGAAGAATCTAAAAATCTCAATAGGCCAATAACTATGGAAGAAATTGAAGCAGTCATCAAAAAGCTTCCAGCAAACAAAAGCCCAGGACCAGACGGCTTCACAGGGGAGTTTTACCAAACATTCAAGGAAGAACTAAAACCTACCCTCCTCAGACTACTACAAAAAATCCAAGAGGAAGGAACACTTCCAAGCTCATTCTATGAAGCCAGCATCACCCTAATACCAAAACCAGGTAAAGACAACACAATGAAAGAGAATTACAGGCCAATATCCCTCATGAACATAGATGCCAAAATCCCCAACAAAATCTTAGCAAATCGGATCCAGCAGTACATCAGAAAGATCATACACCATGACCAAGTAGGATTTATCCCAGGGATGCAAGGATGGTACAATATCCGCAAACCAATAAACGTGATACATCACATAAACAAATTGAAAGAAAAAAACCACATAGTCATATCAATTGATGCAGAAAAAGCGTTTGACAAAATTCAACACCCATTTTTGATAAAAACTCTCAGCAAGGTGGAAATTGAAGGATCATACTTCAACATAATAAAAGCCATATATGACAAACCCACAGCCAACATCATACTCAATGGACAAAAACTAACACCATTTCCCCTAAGAACAGGAACAAGACAGGGATGCCCACTCTCACCACTCCTGTTCGACATAGTACTGGAAGTATTAGCCATTGCAATTAGACAAGAAGAAGAAATACAAGGCATCCAAATTGGAAAAGAAGAAGTAAAACTGTCCTTATTTGCAGATGACATGATATTATACTTAAAAAACCCTAAAGACTCCATCAATAACCTATTACACTTAATAAAAGAATTCGGCAATGTAGCAGGATACAAAATTAACGCCAAGAAATCTATGGCATTTCTATACAACAATAGTGAATGTGCAGAAAGAGAGACTAAAAAGCAATCCCATTTACCATCGCACCAAAAAAATTAAGCTACCTAGGAATAAACTTAACTAAAGAGGTAAAAGACCTCTTCTCAGAAAACTACAGGACGTTGAAAAAAGAGATAGAGGAAGACATAAAGAGATGGAAAAACATACCTTGTTCTTGGATTGGTAGAATCAACATCATTAAAATATCTGCCGGGGTCCAACCCCAGCGGGTCCAGGGGTCCCCAAAGGCGTAGACGGAGTCGGCGAAGAAGGAATGACACGGAGACAGCGTTCATTTGATCAGCAGCCTAGCCAGGATCTCCAGCCAGGATCTCCAGCCAAGTTCTGGTCTGGATCTCCAGAGAGGTTCTGCTTAGGATCTCCAGCCAGGATCTGTGTCCATGTTCTCTTGCTAGGTTCTCCAGCCAGGTTCTGTAGCCATGTTCCCTCGCTAGGTTCTCCAGCCAGGTTCAGTCACCAGGTTCTAGTCAGGTTCTCTTGCCAATTTCTGTAGTCAGGTTCATTCCAGGATCTTTTGCCATGTTCTCTCGCTAGGTTCTGTCTCTAGGTTCTGAGGCCAGTTTCTGTCCAGGAACTTTTGCCATGTTCTCTCCAGCGAAGTTCTTCTGTCTCTAGAGAATGTTCTGTGTAGGTTCTGTGCCTAGGTTCTGTCTCTCCTGGTTCTGTCTTCTTACATCTGTATTTATACCAGTTGATTCCAATCCTATCAATCTCTATTTCAAAGGTTAGGGCGTTTCTTATCTCCATTCCAGGGAGTAAAGATTATGTAGCTTAAGCATGATTGTTCATAGTTAAAGTGATTAATTACCCACCTGGCACTTAGTTAAGAGGTTTTATTCCCTCCCTAACTTCAGGGGAAAATCCCTACCTGGGGAAACAACCTTTCTCAGAGACCTTGGTTAAAACCCATAGTGCCAAGAAGGTGAGCAAACATATTAAGAACAGTATGCCATATATGCCAGGTCCTTTGAAACAGCAAGCATGGACCGGCTCCTGGAAAATATCCATACTGCCCAAAGCAATATATAAATTCAACGCACTTCCCATTAAAATACCAATGGCATATTTCACAGACCTAGAACGAACTCTCCAAAAATTCATCTGGAATAAAAAACGACCCCGAATAGCTGCAGCGATCCTGAGAAAGAACAAAGTAGGTGGGATTTCAATACCAGATATCAAGCTGTATTACAAAGCCACTGTTCTCAACACTGCCTGGTACTGGCACAAGAACAGACATATAGATCAATGGAATAGAATAGAGAGACCAGAAATCAGCCCCAACCAATACGCTCAATTAATATTTGACAAAGGAGGCAAGAACATACAATGGAGTCAAGATAGTCTCTTCAATAAATGGTGTTGGGAAAATTGGACAGAGACATGCAAGAAAATGAAACTAGACCACCAACTTACACCATACACAAAAGTAAACTCAAAATGGATAAAGGTCTTAAATATACGACGGGAAACCATACAAATACTAGAAAAATCCAAAGGCAACAAAATCTCAGACATATGCCGAAGCAAATTCTTCACCGATACAGCACCTAGGGCACGGGAAACTAAAGAGAAAATAAACAAATGGGACTATATCAAAATAAAAAGCTTCTGCACAGCAAAAGAAACCATCAACAAAACAACAAGAAAAACCACTGTGTGGGAAAACATATTTGCCAATGTCATATCTGATAAGGGCCTAATCTCCAAAATTTATAGAGAACTCATACAACTTAACAAAAGGAAGATAAACAATCCAATCAAAACATGGGCCAAGGATCTAAATAGACACCTTTCAAAAGAGGACATTCAGAAAGCCAAGAGACATATGAAAACATGCTCAAAGTCACTAATCATCCAAGAGATGCAAATCAAAACAACAATGAGGTACCATCTCACACCTGTCAGACTGGCTATCATCAACAAATCAACAAACGACAAGTGCTGGAGAGGATGTGGAGAAAAAGGAACACTTGTGCACTGCTGGTGGGAATGCAGACTGGTGCAGCCACTATGGAAGACAGTATGGAGTTTCCTTAAACAACTGAAAATGGAACTCCCATTTGACCCTGTGATCCCACTTCTAGGAATATATCCCAGGAAACCAGAAACACCAATCAGAAAGGATATATGCACCCCTATGTTCATAGCAGCACAATTCACCATAGCTAAGATCTGGAAACAGCCTAAGTGCCCATCGGTAGATGAATGGATTAGAAAACTGTGGTACATCTACACGATGGAATACTATGCTGCTGTAAAAAAGAAGGAACTCTTACCATTTGCAACAGCATGGATGGAACTGGAGAGCATTATGCTAAGTGAAATAAGCCAGTCAATGAAGGAAAAATACCACATGATGTCACTCATGTCTGGATAATAAAGACCATTATAAACTTATGAACAAAAATAGATACAGAGGCAGAGCTGCCTCGAACAGACTGTCAAACCGCAGCAGTAAGGCTGGGGAGGGTGGGAGGGCGGGAGGGGGGTGGGTAAGAGATCAACCAAAGAACTTGTATGCATGCATATAAGCATAACCAATGGACATAAGACACTGGGGGGTAGGGGAGGCCAGGGGATTGTCATGGGCACGGGGGGAAAAAAAGGAGACATATGTAATACTTTTTGTAATACTTTAAGCAATAAAAAAAGAATCTAATATAAATGCTTGAAAAAAAAATAAATTTATTAGACATAGAGTTCAGAATAATGATGGTAAAGATGCTCAACAGCATGAAAAAAGATAGTAACTATGAAGAATGACATAACACTAATAAAGAATTCAGTGGAATGAATACACAGCAGATTAGGAGAAGCTGAGGATTGGATCAATGAATTAGAAGACAGGGTAGAAAAAATCACTCAATCAGAGAACCAACAAGAAAAAACAATTAAAAAAACAGAAGGACAGCTTAAGGGAGCTATGGGACAACATGAAACATAACAATATTCATATAATAGGTGTGTCGGAGGGGAAGAAAAGGAGCAAAGGATAGAGAATGTTTTTGAATAAATAACAGCAGGAGACTTCTCTAACCTGGTGAAGGGAAAAGTCATACAAATCAGGAGGAACAGAGAGTGCCAACCAAGAAGAACCCAAACAGGCACAGGCCCAGATATATCATAGTTAAAATGCCAAAAATTAAAGACAAAGAGAGAATCTTAAAGGCAGCAAGAGAAAAGCATTTTGTTACCTACAAAGGAGCTCCCATAAGTCTGACAACTGATTTTTCATCAGAACCTCTACAGGCCAGTAGGGAATGGCATGAAATACTCAAGGTAATGAAAAGCAAGGATATGAAACCAAGATTACTATATCCAGCAAGGCTATCATTCAAAATAGACAGTGAAATAAAGAGCTCCCTAGACAAAAAAAAAACAAAAAGCAAAAACAAAAACAAAACCCCCACAAACAAACAAGCAAAAAAACACTAGAGGAGTTCATCACCATCAAACCAGCACTACAAGAAATGTGAAAGAGACTTCTGTAACAAGAAGACAAAATAGAGAGAGAAACCTAGGTATACAGAATTAAAAGAGTAATAAATAAGTACCTATCAATAATAACCTAAAATGTGAATGGATTAAATGATCCAATCAAAAGACATGGGGTAGCTGAATGGATACAAAAGCATACTCAATTATATACTATCTACAAGAGACCTACCTCAGGACAAAAGACTCACACAGGATGAGAGTGAAGGGATGGAAAAATGTTTTTCATGCAAATAGAAATGAAAAAACAACAACAACTGGGGTAGCAATACTCATATCTGACAAAAGAGACTTCAAAATGAAGGCCATCACAAGAGACAAAAAGGTCATTACATAATACTAAAGGGGTCAATTCAACAAGAGGATATAACTGTGGTAAACATATATGCACCCAATATAGGAGCACCTAAATATATAAAAACTTCTAGTGGACTTTAAGGGAGAGAGCGACAACAAAACAGTCATACAGGCAGTCTTTTTTTTTTCACATAAGGAAGCATTTATTTGAGGTTTAACATGAAATCATACAAATAAAATTTGTATAAACACAAATCCACATTGAATCATAACACAGATAGCAAAAGGCAAAGTAAAAACAAAGAAAACTAATTGGCGGCTATATACAGTTGGACACAGTTGTGTCTTATACACTAGAAAGTCTTTTACAAAATAATCATCTTAGAGCAAGAGAAGATCAATCTTCAATGGCGTCCTGACAGATGGGTTACTTTAGCAATCTCCTCCTGTTTTCTCCAATGTCCTCCTTTAGTATGGCTGATAATTATTTTGGTGATTGCCTCCCCCTCGAGACGCCTTGCCATAAGTGCTCTGTTGGCCACTGTAGTCTGCATATCCCTGTCCATATCCATAGTTCCCATAGTTATACCCAGTATAATCATAGCCGCCATAGCCACTATAGTTTTGATCACCACCATAGGCACTATTGTAATTTCCATATCCTTGATCATAATAGTTATTAAATCCTCGGTTCCAGTTTTGGCCCTGACCTCGGCCTCGACCCCTAGTACCACCTCTTCCACCAGCTGCAGCACCTCTTCCTCCCTTTTGTTGTTGCTGTTGTTGCCTATATACCTCTTTGGGTTGGGCAACTTTGATTTCACACTTCCCAGAACCAATTTGATGATATCTGCTTTCTAACAATTTCTTTACTGACTCCTCATCTGTATATGTGATAAAACAAAAACCTCTTCTTTCATTTGTTTTTGTATCCATGGGAAGTTCAATATTTTCAATCTCTCCAAAGGCTCCAAAATATTCTTTAATTTGTTCTTCAGAAGTATCTGGGCTCAATCCACCCACAAAAACCTTTTTGGGGGGCTCCTTCCCTTTTAAAGCTTTGGCCCTTTTGGGATCTATCAATTTGCCATCCGTTTGTGTTCCTTCAGTTCCAAAACCTTATCAACACTAGCAGCATCTTTGAAAAGCACAAATCCAAATCCTCTTGATCGTCCAGTGACTGGATCTGTTTTAATGGTGCAGTCTACAACTTCCCCAAATCGAGACAAGTACTCAGTCAGATCTTTCTTGCTTGTGTCCCAGCTCAAGCCTCCAATAAACATTTTACCGTCATCCTGCTGATTCTTGCTCGCGTTGATCTTGGATCCCTCTGCGACCTCCTCCATATTGCTGTACTCGTTCACGTCCTCCATGGCCGCGGCGTTGTCAGCCGGCGGGTGCTGGCGCGCAGTTCGAGTCGCGGCCGCGGCGGCGGAGCGTTGTATGGAGCCGGATTTAAAATGGCGGCGGAAGAGCCAGGCAGTCTTTAATATCCCACTGACTTCACTAGTTAGACCGTCCAGACAAAAAATTAACAAGGAAACAGTCACTCTAAAGGACACACTGGTTCAGTTGGGTTTAATTGATATATATATATATATATATATATATATATATATATATATATATATGTATAATTTCACCACAAAGCTGCAGAATATACATTCTTCTCAAGTACACATAGGTCATTCTCCAAGGTAAACTACATGTTACAACACAAAACAAGTCTCTACAAGTTCAAGAAGATTAAAATCACATTGAGCATCTTCTCAGATCACAGTGGAATAAAATTAGAAATAAACTACAGTTAAAATACCTCCAAACATTCAAACACATGGAGGCTAAATAGCATGTTATTAAACAATGAATGGGTTACCAATGAGATCAAGAAAGAAATAAAAACTTCCTGGAAATAAATGAAACTGAACACACAACAACCCCCAAAATCTATGGGACACAGCAAAAGCAGTCCTGAGAGGGTAGTTCATAGTACTACATGCTTTACCTCAAAAAACAAGAAAAATTAATGATAAACTATTTAACCCTACAATTTAAATAATTGGAAAGAGAACAACAAGAAAAGCCTGGAGTAAGTAGAAGGAAGGAAATCATAAAGATTAGAACAGAAATAAATGACATAGACCCTGAAAAATAATACAAAAGTTCAATGAAACCAAGAGATGGTCCTTTGAAAAGTTAAACAAGATTGATAACTGTTAGCCAGACTCCTTAGAGATCAACCAAAGGACTTGTATGCATGCATATAAGCATAGCCAATGGACACAAGACACTGGGGGGTAGGGGAAGCTGGGGGAAGGTCAAGGGGGGAAAAAAAGGATACAGATGTACTACTCTTTGTAATATTTTAAGCAATTAAAAAAAAGAAACAAAGAGAGAGGACCTAAATAAATAAAATAAGAAACAAAAGTGATCAAGTAACAACTGACACCAGAGAAATGCAAAGGATTGTAAGAAAGTACTATGAACAACTATTTTCCAACAAGCTGAACAATGTGGATGAAATTGACAAATTCCTGAAAAAATAAAATCTTCCAAAACTGAAACAGGAAGAGTCAGAAAACATGAATAGGCCAATAACAATGGATGAAATAGAAGCAATAATAATAATAATGAAAAACCTCCCAGCACACAAAAGCCCTGGTCTGTACAGCTTCATAGGGGAGTTTTATCAAGCCTTCAAAAAACAACTAGCACCTATCCTCCTTAAACTATTCCAAAAAATTCAAGAGAAAGAACACTTCCAAGCTCTTTTTATTAGGCCATTATTATCCTAATACCAAAACCAGATAAAGACACTACAAAGAAAGATAACTATAGGCCAATATCCCTGATGGACATAGATGTTAAAATCCTCAACAAAATATTAGCAAATCAGATCCAGCAATACATTAAAAAGATGATATGCCATGACCAAGTAGAATTTGTTCCAGGGATGCAAGACTGGTACAATATTCACAAATCAATAAATATTATACATCGCATAAACTGATTGCAAGACAGAAATCACATGATCATATCAATTTATGCAGAAAAAGCATTTGACAAAAACCAACATCCATTTTTGATAACAACTCTCAGCAAATTGGGAATAGAGGGAACATATCTCAACATAATAAAGGCCATATAAGACAAACAGATGGCCAACATCATACTCAATGGGCAAAAATTAAAATCATTTCCTCTAATAAAAGGAATAAGACAGGGATGCCCTCTTTCACCACTCTTGTTCAACATAGTACCAGAAGTCCTAGGCATAGTTATCAGACAGCAAGAAGAAATAAAAGGCACCCCAAATTGCAAAGGACGTAGTAAAACTCTCATGATTTGCAGATGACATGATATTGTACATAGAAACCCGTAAAGACTCCACCAGAAAACTACTACTAAATTTAATAAATGAATTCGACAATATAGCAATTTACAAACTTAATACCCAGAAATAGATGGCATTTTTATACACCAATAGTAAATTATCAGAAAGAGAAACTAAACAAGCAATCCCACTTAGCATTGCAACAAAAAAGTTAAGATATTTAGGAATAAACTTAACCAAGCAGGTAAAAGTCTTGCACTTGGAAAACTACAAGACGTTGAAAAAGAGATAGAGGAAGATATAAAAAAAATGGAAGGATATACTGTGTTCTTAGATTAGTAGAATTAACATCATTAAAATGTCCATGCTACCCAAAGCAATCTACAAATTTAATGCAATCCCTACTAAAATGCCAATGGCATATTTCACAGATCTAGAACAAATACTCCAAAAAGTTATATGGAATGAAAAAAGACCCTGAATAGCTGCAGCAATCTTGAGAGAGAAGAACAAAGTGGGTGGGCTCATTTATCAAGTTATACTACAAATCTACTGTAATCAAAACAGCCTGGTACTGGCACAAGAATAGGCATTTAGATCAATGGAACAAAACAGAGACACCAGAAATCGACCCAAGCCATTACGCTTAATAAATATTTGACAAAGGAGGCAAGAACATACAGTGGAAAGAAGATAGTCTCTTCAATAGTGGTGTTGGAAAAATTGGATAGATACATGCAAAAAAAAAAAAAATGAAACTAAACCACCAACTTACACCATACACAAGAATAAACCCAAAATGGATAAAAGACTTAAATGTAAGTTGTGAAATCATAAAAATCCTAGAAGAAACCATAGGCAGAAAAATCTCAGACATTTCTCATAGCAATATGTTTACAGGTACATCTCCTAGGGCAGTGATGGCGAACCTTTAGAGCTTGGCGTGTCAGCATTTTGAAAAATCCTAACTTAACTCTCTGCTGCCATGTCACATATAGAAATTTTTTGATGTTTGCAACCATAGTATTAAAAAGATTTATATTTTTGATATTTATTTTATATATTTAAATGCCATTTAACAAAGAAAAATCAACCAAAAAAATGAGTTCGCTTGTCACCTCTGACATGCGTGTCATAGGTTCACCATCACTGTCCTAGGGCAAAGGAAACTAAGGAGAAAATAAACAAATGGGACTCCATCAAAATAAAAAGCTTTTGCACAGCAAAAGAAACCATCAACAAAATGAAAAGGGAGCCCACTGTGTGGGAGAACACATTTGGCAATGATACATCTGAAAAAGGGTTAATATCTAAAATATATAAGGAATTTATACAACTTAACAAAAGGAAGACAAACAATCCAATTACAAATTGGGCAAAGGACACTTCTCCAAAGTGGGACATACAGATGGCTAAGAGACATATGAAAAAATGCTCAAAGATACTTATCATCAGAGAGATGCAAATTAAAATGACAATGAGGTATCACACCTGTCAGAATGACTATCATCAACAAATCAACAAATGACAAGTGTTGGTGAGGATGTGGAGAAAAGGGAACCCTAATACACTGCTGGTGGGAATGCAGACTGGTGCAGCCATTATGGAAACAGTATGGAGTTTGTAAAAATATTAAATATGAAACTGCCATTTGGCCTAGTGATCCCACTCCTAGGAATATATCCTAAGAAACCCGAAACATCAATTAAAAAAAAATGTGCACCCCTATGTTCATAACAGCACAATTTACAATAGCTAAGATCTGGAAACAGCCCAAGTGCCCATCAGTAGACGAGCGGATAAAAAAGCTGTGGGACATTTGTACCATTGAATATTATGCAGTAGTAAAAACGAAGAATCTCTTACCCTTTGAGACAGCATGGATGCAACTGGAGAGCATTATACTAAGTGAAATAAGCCAGTCAGAGAAAGACAAGTATCACATGATCTCACTCATATGTGGAATCTAATTAACAAAATAAACTGATGAACAAAATAGGTCCAGAGACATAAAGCATGGAACAGGTTGTGGAACCTCAGAGGGAAGGTGGATAGGTGGGAAGAGATCAACCAAAGAACTTGCATGCATATATGCATAACTGTTGGACACAGACAATAGGGGAGTGAAAGCCTGGGGTAAGGGGGCGGGGGGCGCTAGAAGCGGTAAATAGGGGCAAAAGGGGGACATATGTAATACTTTCAACAATAAAGAATCAATTAAAAATAAATAAATGGTAAAAAAAAAAAGTTAAAAACATGATTACAGAAAATTATATAGTGAGTGTGTGTCAAGGACTTAATTCATTAATCAGGAAATCAACCAACTGGTAAAACTGGTTCAAAAGAGGACAGGAAAAACTGCTAAATTAAGTCAATGGAAAAAAAGAAAATGCTGGAATGAGATTGCCAAGTTCAGTGTAAAACTGGCTAATGTCTTACAGGAAACTAAAAAACCTTAACTTTTGTGTTTTTTTTTTTTATTGCAGTTTTCTTCTTTGCTGGCTAAAAATCACCAGTAACCTTTTACAAATTAGCATTTAACTTTCAAAAAGCTGGCATCTAATAAATAGAAAGTAATAAGTCAAAGAAAGTTACTTTCCCCTCAGGCCTGCATGTTAGATAATGCTTTGATCTGACATAAAAGGCTGTAGTTGTCTTGTTCTGGAGAATTTTTCTTAATTCAGAAAGGAGATCTAGAAATAAACCATCTCTGTAAAATAGATTATGATAAAAATCATTAACATGTATGGAATGCTGAACACTGTTCTGAGTGTTTTCATGTCTAGCTTTGAGTCACTGTCACAATGCTAGGAGGCAGGCCTGTTACTGCCCTCATTTATAGAGGAGGAAGCTGAGGCAGTCTGGCTCCAAAGCCTGTTCTTAGCTGCTTCCCATGGACAAAATGGCTATGGGTCCAATAGGGTACCTGTGGGCTGTGTGTGTGTGTGAATTTGATTGAACTAGAAATAGAGGCCAATGGTGGAATTAGATGCAGTCCAATTTTTCATTTCTAATCTAAAATTTGAATTAGGCAACAAGATGTAAGATGACAATAGTCTATTGGGTGGGCTGCCTGGAAACCCTGAGATGGTTTGTGTAGAATGTTAAGTATATTTTGCCAGCTGGAACCACTGCTCCTGGTAATCACACTATCACATCCAATCCTACAGCAGAAGCAGTTATGTTGGCATGTCTAGTAGAGAGACAAGGGGAGCGAGTCCTGTATGTTAGAATTCAAGGGGATGGATGTGTCCATGTTCTCGTGAAAAACAAGAATTTCATTAGAATATGGCATCATCTAGCCCTAGCTGGTTTGGCTCAATGGATAGAGCGTCACCCTGCGGCCCGAAGGGTCCTGGGTTTGATTTCAGTCAAGGGCACATGCCTGGGTTGCGGGCTTGGTCCCCAGCATGGGGCATGCAGGAGGCAGCCAATCAATGATTCTCTCTCATCATTGATATTTCTATCTCTCTCTCCCTCTCTCTTCCTCTCTGAAATCAATAAAAATATATATATATTTTTAAAAAGAATCTGGCATCATCTAAGAGTCTACACGCTTAATTAGAGGGCTCTGTGACTTGCTTTGGTATCTGGAACCCACTTTAGTGAAAGGCCCAGAAGAGTTGTTCTTTCCTAATTAGACACACCCATAATCTAATTCTCTAAAAACACACTCGTAAAGAATGGAAGGAATGCTGCAGCTGTAACACCCAGCACCCTGTCCCGCTTTTCTGCCTCTTGTAGCTGGCACGTGTTTGAAGTCGTTGATGAGCCTATTTGTCCTCTCCAGCCTCCTTTGTTTTGTCAAAATTAGCTGCACGTGCAGACGTGTTTTCATTTGTAATTACTCCCACGAGGGCATAATTGCACCCAAAAGTGATTTGTAGCACCAATGGTGGGAGTAATTAGTAACAAAAATGCAAATAATTGTAGGCATCCAAATTGTAGTCTTTAAAAAGGAACACCCAGTGGAAGCTTGGCTAAAGATTTGGCCTGCTCTCTTTCCTCCACTGGACATGTGTTTGTTAGTTGAACCAATATTGTAACCTCTGGACCCACTTGACTTTCAACACTTCTAGGACCTCTTGGAAATGAGTTAAAAATCAGACTGACCCCAAATGTCAGCTCATTGAGAAACTAGAAAAAGGAGTCAGAGTCAAAATTAAACTTGGGCTGGAGGGGGAAGCACAGACAATTGAACACATTTTTTTTTTTTTTTTTTTTTATCATAAGCATGAATCTCGTTTCTGCACACCAAGTCTGGGGAAAACAGAGTCGCAGAAATAGTAGAAGATTTTCTTGACTCAGCCTCTAATCACAGAATTACAGGAACTCTAGCTACACATCCTTCCCATACTTGCTCCCCACCAAATTATTCCCGAATAAGGCAGGATTATGGTAGCCCCGGTGAGGTGTGAGACCATGCGGTGTCTCCACGGCTTTGCCCATATTTCCTGTGATGTCCCCCTGGTTTTCTCCATTGAGGCAGCACTGGGCTGTGCCAGGTGGCTTTGGCTTAGCGACGACTCTGGATAGCAATGCTGGGCTGCCAGGTTGCACCTAAAATTTATATCCATTTGTGTTACACTTTGTAACATAGGTCACAGGTAATAGTCTTTCTGTTCACAAAGCCTTCCAGAGGTTTTACTGAAACATCTCTCCTTTGTTTTTATTGATTTATTGGTTAATTGATGGATTGATTTTGTTAATCTTCACCTGAGGATATTTTTCCATTGATTTTTTTTTTTTTTTTTTAGAGAGTAGAAGGGAAGGAGAGAGACAGAGAGAGAAATATCAATGTGAGACACATCAATTGGTTGCCTCCCCCACGTGCCCCAACAGGGGATCGAGGTTGTAACAGAGGTACATGCCCTTGACTGGAATAGAACCAGTGACCCTTCAGTCCTCTGGCCAATTCTCTATTCACTGAGCCAAACTGGATAGGGCTTGTGTGTGTATTTTTAAAATGTATTTACAGTATTACAGATATCCCCCATTTTGCTACCCCCCCTTTTCCCTCTTCCTCCAGCCCCCATCCCACCCTAGGCCTTCACCCAACTATTGGGCTATGTATATGTGCATATCAGTTCTTAGGTTAATCTCTGAAACACCTCTACTTTGTTTTTGTATTTGAATCTCCCCAACCAATACTAGCCAGAGACCTGGGGGAAAGGGAGTACAGGGGAAAGCTAGGGGTGGAAGTAGCAGGAAGGCCAATTAAGAGAGCAATGTGAGTCCAGCACTCTCCATTGTACTCAGAATCACCCCTCTACTCACATTTGCACACACACACCAATTCTCCTTTCTTTAGCTGTCTTCTCCCATTAGTTATTGGACCCCCATGCAAATGGACTTTCAAACGGGCTCCTCTTATTGGTCCATAGTGTTCCAGAGGTACTTGGATATACCTGGATTTTCCTGAAAACACAGCCTGACCTGTCCTTGGGACCTCAGCAACAGTGGTGCTGGTTGACAAAGAAACTTTGGTCTAAGGAAGACAGGAAGGGGAGGCAATATTTTATAGCAAAGTGTTTTATAGGAAGGAAATAGCAAGCTTGTATTGATTACGGGCCTATAGGGAGGGATCAATGTCACCAACAGAATGAAGAAAATAAACTGGTGATGTGTGTATTGTTTAGCATTCACATATATTAGCAAAGCCATTCTCTTGGGGAATACATTTGCTAAATGAATCAATGCCAATCCAATTGAAAGAGTGTGGAGAAATGAAGGTGTGTATAATGCACTTCCCTCCACTGGAAATACACTTTTGTGTTGCTTGCAGAGCAGAGGTAGATCTTATAACACTTTGGGGTGAAAAGTAGGAGGCGAGGGGTGAGCTCATTTGTTGACAAGAAATAACTTGGGGAAAACATTGGGCAGCCTGTGGACAGAATGTATTTAAAAACCAAAGGTTGGCCCAGCAGTGGTATCTCACAGCTGCCACTCCAAGTGTGAGTTCTTAGTCCATTTAATAATAGCTTTCTCTGCCCAGTGCTGGGGAAGAAATGTGTTCCATTTACTCTCACTGTTTGTAGCATCTGGGGGTGCTGTTCCATCATCCCGCCACTATAATTCACCCACTTTTATTGCTGTAGGCAGCCCTCATCCAAAATGATTACTTTGCAGATAAAAGAAAAGGCATACGTGGTAAAAAAGTGATGAAGGTAAGGGGTTATAAAGTGTTTTTGCTACTACAAAGAGAGGAAGTATAAGGAAAAAGAGAATTGTTTAAGAATATTTAAGAGGGCCGCTCAGATATGGTAACATTGGATAAAATATGGTTGGGCCGACTAGATGATTTTAACCAGAGAAAGTAAGATCATATGAGTCCTAATAAGTCCTCTTGAGGAGAAGTGACTGCTCATATGTCTCAGGCTAAAAGATCCCTATGACTGTGGAAGGAATTCTGTGTATTGGGTTCAGTCAGGTTCTGGTTTTCCACCTGGAAGATCTGGTTGTGGTCAGTGGAGTGGTTTGATATCAGTGGCTCTGTGTGACAGTGGCTAGCATAGGGGAAAATGAACATCTGTGGATACTTGTGTGTTTGATTATGTTAAAATTAACTTATGCTGGGGATAAAGTTTTTAATTGCTTGCTTAGACTTTAATCCAAATATTATTGGGAGGCAGTCCTTAGTGAAAAAATATCACATTAAAATGTCAATGATTGACATATATTTCTAAGTCGGAAGAAGGCCATGGAATAGGGGAGTAGCTGAGCAGAAGTGGAATCTTCTAGAGCTCTGGGTAGGCTGGTGCAGTCCTGCTGGGTATGAGATAGTAATTTCTGAATGGCATGAGTGAGAGAGAACACTGGGTCAGCAGAGGGGAATAGCAGAGCCTGTCAGGATGTCATGGGCATCTGTTGATTTCATCTGACTGGTCCATCTTCTTTGTCAGATCATGACATGCTCCGTTTTCTTTGTGGCACTACACATCTCATACTCCATGTGGTCATGGAAGGATTGAGTTCCCTCATGACCTTTCCCACCTTCCTAAGGCCCCATATATTTAATCAGAAGACTCAGTTCTGCAGGGCATTGGCCTTCCCTGTGACATGATGTGTGAACACTGGAAAAGAAAAGGTGTCTGTTTTACTCTGGGGTTTTTTATTATAAGAATACTAGTGGCCTGGTGCATGAAATTCATGCACATTAAAAGGGAATTAATTAGAGGAAATATTTTAATATTGCTATTTGCCCTTTATCTATAATAGAAGTGTCAGAGATGAAAGAAAATTAATAAAATGTATATAAAAATCTTCCTATACAAGAGTCTGGGGCATGCCACGGGACCCAGAGTCAAGTCCCTGCCCACCCATGTGCACCTTGAAATCGTGCGAGACCGAGACCTGGCTGGCCCCCACCCCATTGGGCAAGATCCAGACCCAGCTGTCCCCACCCCATCAAGCCTTGCTGGGTGGGGGTGCAGCCTCAAGTCCACCAGCTCAGCACTGGGTGGGGGGTACAGCCTCAGGTCCCCCAGCCTGGCACCGGATGGGGGGTGCAGCCTCAGGTCACCTGTCAAGCCACACTGGGCAAAGGGTGCAGCCTCAGGTCCTCCAGCCCAACACAGGGGCAGAGGGCATGGCCTGAGGTCCCCCGTCAAGCACCACTGGGGCAGGGGCATGTCATCAGGTCCCCTGTCCTGGCCCAGTGCCACACAGCCTCAGGTCCCTGCTGATCACTTGTTACAACTTATTACTGGAACCCTGCCTCCACTGTGAGCATAGCCATCTTGTGACAGCGTGATGGAGTGAGGGTCAATTTGCATATTACCTCTTTATTATATAGGATGTGAGCCTGGATCTGATGGAGGCAATATCCCCCAGGAGTATTGGAGAAACTGTCTGTGAACAAAGTCACCACACAGCAGAAAGCAGAGCCAGGAGTTGGAGAGAGAAACACACACTAGCTTTTTTTTTTTTTTTTTTTTATTAAATCTTTATTGTTCAGATTATTACATTTGTTCCTCTTTTTTTTCCCCCCCATAACTCCCCTCCTCCCAGTTCCCGCCCCACGCTCCGCCCTCACTCCCCACCCACTGTCCTCATCCATAGGTGCACGATTTTTGTCCAGACTCTTCCCGCATCTCCCACACCCCTTTCCCCCGCAGGAATAGTCAGTCCATTCCCTTTCTATGTCCCTGATTCTATTATAATCAACAGTTCATTCTGTTCATCAGATTATTTATTCACTTGATTCTTAGATTCACTTGTTGATAGATGCATATTTGTTGTTCATAATTTGTATCTTTACCTTTTTCTTCCTCTTCCTCTTCTTAACGGATACCTTTCAGCATTTCATATAATCCTGGTTTGGTGGTGATGAACTCCTTTAGCTTTTCCTTATCTGTGAAGCTCTTTATCTGACCTTCAATTCTGAATGATAGCTTTGCTGGATAAAGTAATCTTGGTTGTAGGTTCTTGGTATTCATCACTTTGAATATTTCTTGCCATTCCCTTCTGGCCTGCAAAGTTTCTGTTGAGAAATCAGCTGACAGTCGTATGGGTATTCCCTTGTAGGTAACTGAGTTTCTTTCTCTTGCTGTTTTTAAGATTCTCTCTTTATCTTTTGCTCTTGGCATTTTAATGATGATGTGTCTTGGTGTGGTCCTCTTTGGATTCCTTTTGTTTGGGGTTCTCCGCGCTTCTTGGACCTGTAAGTCCATTTCTTTCACCAGGTGGGGGAAGTTTTCTGTCATTATTTCTTCAAATAGGTTTTCAATATCTTGCTCTCTCTCATCTTCTGGCACCCCTATAATTCTAATGTTGGTACGCTTGAAGCTGTCCCAGAGGCTCCTTACACTATCCTCGCATTTTTGGATTCTTTTTTCATTTTGCTTTTCCGGTTGGGTGTTTTTTGCTTCCTCGCATTTCAAATCATTGACTTGATTCTTGCGCTCCTCTGGTCTGCTGTCAGGAGTCTGTATAATATTCGTTATTTCAGTCCGTGTATGCTTAATTTCTAGTTGGTTCCCCAATATAAGATCGAGGGTCTCATTAGTTTTCTTGTAGACCTCATTAAGTTTATCGGCGGCTTCTAAACAGTTCTTGAGAGACCTTAAAAGTTTGGTTCTGAACTCTATATCTTCCATTGACAATTTTGTCCTGTTTCTTTGTCTCCGCATTTTGTTATGCTTCCTTGATGCACCCCCTAGTGGTCTTTGTTCGCCGTCTTATAGTTAAATCTTGATTGTTGTAGCTAATTCCAGGGAGGGTTTGACCTCCAGGCCAAGTGGCTATGAGAATCAGCTGTGTCAGCAGTGAGAGAACTTCTGTCCTCTAGGGAGGTGCTAATCTAGCCTTTGCCTGAGGCTATCCGGCAAATGCCTGTGTGCAGGGCTTGGGCGGGGCGGGTCGCACAGGATCAACAGGGTGGGCTGGAGAGAGCAGTTATGGCGGCTCTCAGTCCTGTCCCCAGGGGCTCTGCCTCTCTGAGTCCCAGCACCCACTGCAAAGCTCAGAGAGAAAGCTACATTCGCTCTGACCGAAGCCAGACAGTCCCGCTTTTCCCGTTTGAGTCTGGGTCCCTAAAGACTCGCCCGGATCTGGAGCTCAGAGTCTGCGACTCCCTCCCGATTGAAAACGACAACCGCGCCCTCCGCCGCCAGCCCGCTCCGCGCACTCCGCACCTCAGAATTTGACTTCAGCACTGTGCCTCCTCTGAGTGTCCATGTGCGTTTCTCTTTCCTCCTAGTTGTAGTACTTCCACTCAGCCAGCGTTCCTGTGGTTCTGGGTGATGTCCCTTCCGTTTTTTGGTTTCACTTTTGTAGTAGTTGTTCAAAGCAGCAAACTCCGGCGTTAACCTATGCCGCCATCTTGGTTCTCTCCACACACTAGCTTTGATGGCATCACTAGAGGTGCTAGACCTAGCACTACCTGAAGAGAAAACACTGCTGGTTACGAGAGCCTCAACAGAACTCTTTTGGCTCCAGAAAGTGTGAGTTGGATTTTTGTAATATGAAACCAAATGTACAGGTAATTAAAGAGTAGGAGAGGCCAAAGTATCATATTAAGAGTAGATACAAATTTAACACACTTCCCATTAAAATACCAATGGCATATTTCACAGACCTAGAATGAACGCTCCAAAAATTCATCTGGAATAAAAAAAGACCCCAAATAACTGCAGCGATCTTGAGAAAGAAGAACAAAGTAGGTGGGATCTCAATACCTGATATCAAGCTGTATTACAAAGCCACTGTTCTCAACACTGCCTGGTACTGGCACAAGAACAAACATATAGATCAATGGAATAGAATAGAGAGCCCAGAAATCGACTGGAACCAATATGCTCAATTAATATTTGACAAAGGAGGCAAGAACATACAATAGAGTCAAGACAGTCTCTTTAATAAATGGTCTTGGGAAAATTGGACAGATACATGAAAAACAATGAAAATAGACCACCAACTTACACCATACACAAAAATAAACTCAAAATAGATAAAGGACTTAAATGTAAGACAGGAAACCATAAAAATACTAGAGGGATCCAAAGGCAACAAAATCTGAGACATATGCTGAAGCAATTTCTTCACTGATACAGCACCTAGGGCATTGGAAACTAAAGAGAAAATAAACGAATGGGACTACATCAAAATAAAAAGCTTTTGCACAGCAAAAGAAACCATCAACAAAACAACAAGAAAACCCACTGTGTGGGAAAACGTATTTGCCAATGTTATCACCGATAAGGGTTTAATCTCCAACATTTATAAGGAACTCATGCAACTTAACAAAAGGAAGATAAGCAATCCAATCAAAAAATGGGCAAAGGACCTAAATAGACACTTTTCAAAAGATGACATTCAGAAAGCCAAGAGACATATGAAAACATGCTCAAAGTCACTAATCATCTGAGAAATGCAAATCAAAACAACAATGAGGTATCATCTTACACCTGTCAGAATGGCTATCATCAACAAATCAACAAACGACAAGTGCTGGAGAGGATGTGGAGAAAAAGGAATACTCGTGCACTGCTGGTGGGAATGCAGACTGGTGCAGCCACTGTGGAAAACAGTATGGAGTTTCCTCAAAAAGTTAAAATGGAAC